CGTATACAACCCGGTATAGCTAGATGTTACACCAACACTTTTTTAATACCTAAAAGACCCTAACCTTCATTCATCATTATAATATTTTATTATATTTTATTTTATTAGATAAATTTTAGATGAAATCTTATTTTCATTTTTTAAAATTCTAAGAGCATCTTCAACGGTTAGCTAATTATGTCCTTTGCATAAGCATTTGTAGCAAAATTGAAATATACTCCAATAGTTAGCTATAACTTTTTCCTTTGCATTTATTATTTATAATACTATATTTAATAATTCTCTTTGCTCAAGCCAGTAGCTCATTTATGCTAATTAGCTTTCTCAATCAAAAGGAAGAGTAATACTCCAATGGTAGGCTAGTAGCTTCAAAATTGCAAGCAAGTCCCTAAAAGCAACCAGCTGCTTTAATTCCATATTTTTCTCTCTATGATTGTTCATTTTCTCTCTCTTTTGATTAACATCTCCGATTCTCCCTTGTGTACTCATGGAGTCATGGCGTATGTAGGGAAAAGGTGCAAATAGGCCCATGTACTAACAAAAAAAGATCAAATAAGCCCTTATTTGGGAGGCTTTGTCCGGCCGTCGCCATTTGGGGTGGTTCCCGGTGGAATTTTTTGATGAAATTTTTTGAACATCTTATTCATCAAGTCTAGTTTGCTCATACCAAAGTTCAGCTAAAACTTCAATCGGGAAGGCATTCAAATGAATTCTTGAAAATAACTGCGCAGTTAGAAGCGTAGTTATCTTCAAGAATTCATTTGAATGCCTTCCCGATTGAAGTTTTAGCTGAAATTTGGTATGAGCAAACTAGACTTGATGAATAAGATGCTCAAAAAATTTCATCAAAAAATTCCACCGGGAACCACCCCAAATGACGACGGCCGGACAGAACTTCCTAAATAAGGGCTTATTTGACCTTTTTTGGTTAGTACATGGGCCTATTTGCACCTTTTCCCGGCGTATGTATGACTAAAGAAACAAGTATATGTGCATGTAGGTGTTAGGGTGTATATCAACCCAGCGAGGCAGCAGTGAAGACAAACCCACCAGCTCTAAATTCTATTTAGATCATTTGGAATGGTGTGGAGTCCAAAATATCAAAAATGATTCCGTCTATATGAAAACAATGTTTTGATTCCTAATTCACTGCATTCCAGCACCATCAATGAAATACATTCTGCATATTTTTTACATATCAATATAGTAAAATAATAGTTAATTTATTATGAGTAATGTTTTTCTTTTAATTTTTCCCATAAATAATTACGAAAAAAATACACATTCTGATACGAAGTATATAAATAAATTTCATTTATTTTCTTTAACATTTTTCATTTTTATATATTACATATTGGTGTCATGTGAAAGGTTATAAAAAACATGAATTTTGACATACTTTTGGAAAAATTTGGATAAAAAATAAAAAAGTTAAAAATGTTTAAAAATGGTTTAATGAATTTTGATAGGAGTATAATAGTATAGGATTATTAGCTAAATATAGCCCCAACTATCATGAAATTCACAAATCTATCCCATAATTTCAATTTACTAAAAATACTCAAACTTTAACTTTTCTCACAATTACACTTTCAATGGACGAATTAGTAAAAATTAAGAAAAAAATTATATTTATATTTAATATTTTTTTCACTTCTTTTAGTTTTAAGTTTACAAAATTGTGTTGCTTATATCTTATTGGTATTGATAAAAATGTGTATTTTGAAAAAACAAAAAAGAAAAACATAATTGTTGAAAAACATGAAGTTTGAATCTTTTTTGATAAAAATGAAAGTGTATGATAGATTTGTGAATTTAATGATATTTTTAGAATCCAATAGAATATTTCATTTCCCTTTTTCCCTACCTTTTCCCTCTGCGCACATTAACCCCTCCGCCATTCCCTTTTTTACTTTCTTTTCCCTTTTTTGTTGTCAATACACCCTTCAAATTTAAACTCCTTCATCCCTTTATCAATTTTTACTACCCTCTTAACCCACCATTGAATAAAACTAGGAGTCCAAAAATGTCATTTTTAACATTTTGAACTCCTAATACCTCACCACTCCAACTAGTCTTAGATTTCAAAACTTATTACGGAGTGTTAGATTTTAGGTGAAAGACTAATTTTAATAATAAATATGTACTAAACTAATAAATATGTTTTGATGTCATTCGTTTTTTTACGCTATCAGTTAATCTTAAACAGTTAATTTTACCAAACAGTTATTGACAACAAGCTAATATAATCAGTCAACAAAAACAGTTAATACAACCAATTATTATCAAATAGCTATCATAATCAGTTAACAGTCGATTGCCAAACAAGGTTAGTGCATGGAAGAAGGGTTTTCAACCATTTCTCTCACCTCCCCTTCCAATGACTAAACTTCACAACCTTCTCCTCCCCTTCTCTTCAAACTCCCAAACATACCCTTAGCATTTCAAACTTGAGAAAGATTTTCAAGTATATTATGAACTGAGTTGTTTCAAAAATTAATAGTAAAAATTATTATTCTTTGAAAATAAAAGTTTTTTTTAATAAGTACGTCAATTGTTTAGTGAACTTTTTTTGTGTAAGAGGAAATATAGTGAAAAAAAGATAAAAATATCCAGCGATTCCAGATTAGATTACAAAATTAATTAGCATTCTAAAGCCTAATGTTTTTTCTGGTATGATTTATGCAACGTTATCTTATAATCATAATATAAAAAAACGTTGCCCTATAATCTCTTGTACTCCGGATATCAAAATGTGAAACATAAGTATAACAAAACACATTGGTCATTATAGCATATACTTCCTCCGTTCTTTTTTAGTTGCAACGGTCAACATTTCACATTTGCCAACGCACATCTTTGACCGTAATTATATCTTAATCCCTATTAGTAAAAAATATTTAAAAATTAGTTTTTGAAAATTTGTAATGAGATGAATTGAGCAATATAATTTTTAAAAAATAATTTTCATAAAATAATAATATAAAATGTAGTCAAAGTAGAATATGTGAATAGTGTAAAATTCAACATGTTGCGATTAAAAAGAGACGGAATCACGGAAGATAGTATGCCCTATTCTACTTTTTTTTGTTAAGATGCCCTGCAAATATTTATTCTACTTGTTCAGTGAAATATCAATTATTTGTGAACAAATTGTTCTTTAGGTGCCTGCAAATGCATAAAAAACGAAAGTGAAGAACCTTTTTTATCTTTTGAAAAATATATAGCGTTAGTTTCAAGTTTACCTAATTGTAATTGGTTCAAGTTTTACTCAATTTCTAATGGAATATAATATAAAATGTAATATAGTTTTATGCCAGGCTTTTAGTTTTTAACTTTTTATTAAGTATTTAAGTATATATAAGTATATTAATTAAGTGCTTGTAATATTACTTGTATTATTGCAAAATTGTACTCCCTCCGTCCCTAAATAAATTTTCAACTTTCCTTTTTCGTGTGTCCCAATTAAAACTTCCACTTTTCCTTTTTGGTAGGGGTGGATTCGGGTCGGGCCACCCGACCCGTGGACCGGACCGGACCGCTACTGTGCGGGACCGGCCCGGTTCTCGGTTCTGGGTCCGGGTCGGGCCTAGGCCCGGGGGAGGGGGCGGGTCCGGGCTCGGGTCTTACGTTTGGTAGGTGGGAATCTAATTTAATCTAAGTTAGTAGGTGGGAAAACTAAACAGCAAAACAAACATAACCAGTACATTACAGCAAAACAAAAAAAATAAATAAATAAACAAGACTGAATCCCTTAAGTATTACTTTATCTGTCCTTTTGTCCGTCATACATAGGCATGGACCGGGTCCGATCCGGGCCCGGGTCCCCAGAAAAATTCAGTGAAGCCCAGGACCAGCCCAGGACCGGCCCGGATGTTGACCGGTGCCAGTTCGGGCCGGGTCTGGTTCTATTTTTTTCTTGATTATTTCATCCCCTAACCCCCCCATCCCCCAAACCCATCGGAAACACCCATCACAGCCCATTTAAACCCAGCCCAAACCAAATAAAATAAAAAATAAAAAACAGGCCCGAACCGGGCCCGGCCCGGCCGGTTCACATTTGTGCAATCCCGGAACTGGCCCCAGTTTCATCCATCAACCGGGCCTAGAGCTAGAACCGGTACCCGGTTCCCGGACCGGGCCGGGCAGGTTCCGGGTCGGGTGGCCCGCACCAAGTCCACCACTAGTCATACAGATGGCCTATACAATTATGCTCATAGAGCTTAAGAAACCACAAGATCAGCCCTGGCCATGCTTTTGTTCTGAGTCTCCGACAAGCATTACCTAAAAGAACCAAAATACGGCAAATTCTGATACTTGTACATGCAAATTCATGTACAAGAAACTCAGTCACGGGAAACCTCAGTCACGGGAAACCTCGATCAGTAATAGAAAGGGCACAAATGACACTATTAAAAAAATCAAAATCTCATTTAACCAATCTCATTGTAATATTTCGATACATGTACCGATTGAACACTTGGGGTCTGTCGGGATGGAGGTAGGCCTGGACTCGGGCCGGGTGGCCCGACCCCGAACCGGCACTATTCCAGCCCGGTGGCCCAGTCGGTGACCGGTCCGGGTAGGCCCGACCTGCGGGGGTTCCGGTCCGGGCTCGGGTCCCCCAAATCTTGAACTGGCCCAACCGGTTCGGGCCCGGTTCTAGGCCTTTTTAATTTTTTTTTCAATTTTTTTTACTTTTCGGGTTGGGCTGGGTATTTTGGGCCATTTGGGGTGGTTTGTGGTGGTTTGGGGGTGGGGGGTTGACTAGGAAAAGGGGGAAAAAATAACAAATACCCGAGGCTTGGCCCGGGCTGGTTCCAAGCCCCCCATTTCAGAACCATCGGCCCGACCGGGCCTAGGCCCGGGCCCGGGCCCGAACCGGCCCGAGTCCAGCCCTAGATGGAGGGGTTTTGAAGGGGAAGGCAGAGAGCCTGAGAGCATAGTGAAATTAAAACTTCAAAGAGATCAAGTCACTAGGACATCCAAAACACACAATGAAAGAGATCATATATATATTGATTCATTCTCTCCTCGTCACTTATTATAATATAGCATAAAGTTTTACTAGAAATTAAGATGTAACATTGTTTCATAGCACCACATATGAATGCATTCTACTTTCAAGCAGAAATGTCAGGAATAACATATGCATCTCTAAACGGCAATTATGGATGAACGCTTTGGAGGGCGTAGTTTATACGGGGAAATTATGTATGATTACATACGATGTAGTATGTACTCTTTAATTGTATCTAAATGCAAAATATATATGAAGAATGGACTCAGCCCCTCAAACCTTTCACTTCAAACCCTTCCATGGCTACATCAAAATAGACCTTAAGGAAATGCAGACCAAGTGATGACAAAAGGCGAAACGATAACTGGGGTCAGGAGCGATTAGATGGCCTCTGCAAGGATGCGCCGCACCTCCTTTGAGAGATCAGTGACATGCTTATCTTCACATCCTGGTTCAATGAGGGTTGATGGAAACACAATAGAAACACACAACCGAAACATTAGACAAAAAAGTAGTTGAAATAAACATACAACTGTAACATCATGGCAGAGAGCAATGAGTGCTTTCTAAACACGAGAAAAACAGCCATCAACTTTAAAAAACCATCATTCAATATTAACAAGGCAGTTGTTTCACTGCCTTGGTTGAAGGTTTTGTATTTTATTCTAATAATTGGGTCACCGTCAATGAATATTTCTCAAATTGCATTAATTTAAGATCTTAATTAATTTTCAAGCGGGGCATGACTAACAAAGATCTCAACTCATTGATTTTTTGTCTCTTGAAATTTTGTCAAACATTTGATGATCATTATGGTGGTGGTTTTAAAATTCCTTCCCAATAAGAAGGGCATTTGGTGTAAAACTTTGTATCTTCATTTATGTGCATGAATTTAGTGTCATCTAACAATACACAATTGAGTGATTGACTATTAATTTCACATCACCTGCTCTAATGTAGTTGGAACTAAGGCGCTATTCATGATAAATAATCATTTTGGAATAAAAATGTCACTATTTTTTAAATGTATCATCAGTTCCAACCGCCAACAAAGTTGGAATAAAGGTGACGTCATACACTCAATACTGTACACTTGCACTATAGCCCATGATATATATAGTTTTCTGTTACCACCTCTGGTCCATTCATTACCTTAGGTTCTGTTAAATTTTACAGTAAAGAATATGCCAGGCTCACAGATTAAAGGCCTCAATTATTTAACATAAATTTTTAAGTGGCGGTTTTTGGCCTTGATGTTATCTAACATTTACACATAAATGTGAGTTTAGAACCCTCTAAGTTGTCAAGGTAAATTTAGTAATTTATGGCCCTTGTACATGACGTTTCCAATTAGGTCACTGAAAAGTGTATAAATTCTTCAAAATCTATCCTAACAAAAGCCTCAATTTTTTCTTGAAAAATACCAGGGATGCATTTGGATACTTTTTTACACTCACAAATGAGAAATGACCTAACTTGGAAACTCCTAGCATCCATTCAAAGCTTGGATGCATAAGGAAGGACACATACTTTACAATATTACACTTGACAATTTAGGGTTTCTGAAGTTCATACTAGATAACTGTAAGATAGCCTCACTAACAAACCACCACTTCGCAAATAATTGAGGTTCTTGACCTGCCAATTACAACGAGACTGAGTTTACATCACACTAATAATTGGATACGAACAGCGCTATTCTCAAACAAAAACATAACAATGGAAGAATTAACGCTCACTAGATAGCATACCTAACAGACCAAGTGCTTTCTCAAGTTGAAAAAGGTAATCTCTGTTAGGTCCAGAAGGCCCTTCAGCAAGAACAATTTGTCTGCATTATAGAAGTCAGGTTAGGAAAACACTTGAGCTGCTGCTACTCCCACTAGCTCTCAATCGTAGAAATGCAACTAGGTTCCCTTATAACATGTTTGATTTATGAGATTAACATTCAGGAGAAAAGACCTATTCAGCTACTCCATTATTGGTTTGAGTGTTTTTTTTTTTTGTAATCATTCCCTGGTATTAGCTCTTCCTGAGTACTGAGAAGTGGCTATTTTTCACAATACAAAACACTTAATCATGCATATTGGTTTCATCAACCAAACACTTAGTCCACTCTAATACGTCCTCACCATGGAGCTTGTATTTGTCAACAAGCTTGTCCTTCAATAGCAATCCAATAACACCAGACAAGCTACGTCATTAGTCCCTTTATGGACATCAAGCTTGTTATCCAGCTTGAGGAGGAGTAATATCAATCATGAAGCTTTTACACGGTCAAATGGTATGATTAAGAATCCATCTTTTATTGAATTGGCCTTCAAGGAATTAGGTGGATGTTGGAGTATGACCTATACATGGACCAACATATAATTGGAGTTTTATAAATCTCATCCCAACTAACAAGTGTGTTACACCAAATGTCCAAAACAAACCAGCTTCTGATTGTTCTTTGAAACTCTGGGTGCGACCCACTATCGTTTGAATTCGGGGGCGCCTAGAGATTGCTCATCTTTACTACCAATGGCACTGCCAAGTGCCAACCTTGGTGAGTTTGTTTGGTGCAAGACCACCTCGGATGGGGATGCTTGGAGTTGTAGGCGGATGCATACAACAACAACATTACCTCAGAGCCGCAAAGGCTCCCACCAATGTAGGCAGATGCATATGTTATAGAAATTGGGGCATGTGCAGCTAAGATCTCGGCAATTATGGTAGAATTGCCAATGGTACCAGGGCTAGCTTCATTGACAGCAGTGAAAAAGGTTTTCAAGCATCCCTCTTCTTTTACCAATTTGGTAATTTGGCCAGGTTTTTACATTAAAAAGATGTAAAAAATGGTTCAATCAAACACGATTTAAGAAAAAACTCTCTTGTTGGATGAAAAATTGAATGGAGAGTTAATTGAATCCAAAAAGCATATGGTATTCTGAGAACTTGTGTTAGATGATAAAATTGAACATGACACAAGGAATCTCAGCATCCAATCATCAAGAAAGATGAGTATTCTTTACCTATCTGATATCTCCTATATAGTCATTAAAAGGATCTACTTATTTTTCATCAAAAGGATCTGCTTAAAACTAAAAAACTTAAGGTTTCAAGTGGAATGCTTCTAAGGCAATTTCGGAAATTCGGGATGGTTCGAGTGTTTCTTCTGTTGGGATCTTGGCTGGGATCTTGGCTGAGGACATTAGAGAACTTCGGTCTTACTTTTCTGAGATTTCTTTTTCTCACATTAGGCAATCAGCGAACAAAGCGGCTCATGCACTAGCGCAAGCAGCTTGTTCTATGTCTGATAGCATTTGTTGGTTTGATTTTCCTCCTTTGTTTATTTCACATGTACTAAACAATGATGCCATCAATGATAACTAATTCTCTTTCTTTCAAAAAAAACTCTCTTTCGCATTGAACAACTCCCCAATCGTATAGTGTAGTTCAAACAAAGAGGCTAATAAAAGCTAAAGAAGGATATTGCAGCAGAAAAGTTACAGAAAAGACCTGGCAATTTCATCAAGCGGCGCAGGTCCCAAGTAGTTGGTGTTGATTTTATTGTCTTGAGAAGCTACATACCTAAATAAAATAAAGCTGACTAATATGAGGCGGGAAAAAAAAAAATGGTAAATCAAGTAAAATCACAGAACCTGCAGCAAGATTTTACAGCTTACACCAGTACATTTGAAATGGCTGGAGTGGAAGCCGTTAGCTCCTGATATGCAAGGAACTATTCAAGAAAGTGTGTAAAAAAGAATAAAACTAAAGTGGGTTCTTCTTTAGTCTTACAGTGAAAACATCCAGATAGGCCTTCTTGTCATACTGCTTTTCCCTCACTTCGAGATACTACATGCATTCTCCAAAAGAAAAACAAAACAGGGAAAAAGAGAGGAAGCCTTAAGTCATTACACACAGCAAAGGTAGAAGTTCAAGAGGTTTGAATATGCAGAAAATGTGGCACGTCAAAGAGATTAGTTTTGGTATGTAATTAACTTCCAAGAACATGGTTTATCCTACAAATATCCTCTGGATTGAAGATATAGCATGACTCTTTGAAAAGTCAAGAAACTTGGCAAAACTTTCACTGAGATGAGAACAAAGCATAATCTGATCATTATTAGCTCAAGGTTGTAAACACCAACTTTCGATAATAGAGGCAATAATAAGACAGTAAGACACGATTCTTGCAGCATTACAAATGAAATTATTTATTGGCCTTCTGTTACTATTTCCCATCAACAAGTTCATATGCTTTTCATGAGCGATAATTCTAGTATAATAGATATTTGATACCATTACGTCAATGAAGCATGCTAATGGACCTAAATCTACAATCAGCGTTACCTAACCTGCGACAGATTTTATTACAATGTTTTGTGACTGCTCTTTCGATAGAACAGCAACTAGAACAAGAATACAGAAACATGCCAGACATTTACCAGGCCAACTATTTATTGACAAAGTTAAGTAACTTCAAGAACTTTGCATCTCATATAAGTTTCTCAAGATATTGAGAATGATGTGTTCAGTAGCAAAGACTACCCCTGGGAGTTGCTGGTCTTGCTACAGAATCATCTGATCTACACCCACATCACTCTCTACTACCACCACCCTTGTCGGGGTATGGATTAATATATGTGTGAGTATTAAGATTGTATTAAGACGTTTTTTTTGGATTAACTGATTAAGTATTTTTTTCTGTATTAAATTGTACAGCTGGAATAAGTGAACTTTATGTAAGGAGTTGTTTACTTTGTGAGCGGAACAAACCATCTGAATTGGGTAAGATAACCGATGTAAGGTTAATTTTGGGCTGTCATGTCAATGAGTAATCTCACTCGTTAACACATCTATTTCAGCATATACTTCTTGAAAAGAATAGGCCAATTAGACATCTAAATTGGAAGGAGTAACACTTTGGGGGTGAAATGACAAGTAAGTTTTGGGGTGAGAGAATACGTTGCGTTTTCAATTAAGTTGTAAGTAAATATGGCTTAATAGTTGAACAGTCCTGGTTAAGCTCATTAAGTAAAATAAACATCAACTCATAATTTACACCTGGAAATAGTAAGAGACCAAAGACACAAGTTAGACGTTAGCATTCTGGCAACTGAACTGAATATGCTATGACACTTGCTGCATAAAGTGATACAAGACCCTAAAAGGAGCATGGCAATCTAACAGCGTAACATAAACAGCGTAAAATAGTAGTTCATTTGTCCATCTAAAAGAAATAAAAAATTGCATGCTAAACCGCAATAAGTTTGTGAACTAAAATGATTGGAAACAGAAACAGTTTTTGAATACAAACACATACCGTTATCGCTAGTTCTTGATCCTCCTCTTTAGTTATCTTGTAAGCAATACCCCACTACAGAGAAAAAAACTAGATTATATAAACAACAAGAGCATGGTCAAGCTACTAAATGAAGATGTTAGATACTTAAATATGATGCAAAACTATTATGGAATCTCAAACCTACAATGTTTATTCAATCCAGTATCAAGAAAAGTTGAGTTTTGGTCTCATTTTGAATGAAGCGACAGGATACAAGAAGTTCTTCTCATCGGCCCTCGCCTGATATCAATGTTTCTTATTTATTTGGATGAGATTATCGTCAGCTTATTTATTAACATATGCAGTTATGCACTGAGAAAATTTGGGTTAACAATACTTTATGTTCTCCTTTTAAAAATCCATTTAATCCATTTGGATAAAGATTGTATTTGGATGAGATTACCTTCAGCTTATTGATTAACACATGCACTTTTTTTTTGTGTTTCTTGAGATGGACTCATTAAAAACCTATAGTGATTTGAAAATTACTTTAGGCATAGTTCATATTCGGCAGCATGGATCGATTCATCTTAGTCAACCCCAAAATCTTTTGGGAATAAGACTTGGGTGTTGTTGTTGTATAGTTCATATACAGAAGCATATCTGAATAACCTCAGGTCCTCAAATCCTCAATACATCTTCCAACAGGCACATAAAACCCTTACAAAGGTATATGACAATATGCAGCTTACCGGCTATCAAAGCTTATAACGATTTTTTATGTGATTGAATAGGTTTGTAGATTTTTAAAGTTAATAATACGACCTTGTGAGCATAAGACATTTCAAGGAACATATATCATAACAAGCTGGAATAACAGATTCTCAAATATGTGTTTGTTTGTTCAAATGAAGCTTCTTCAATGGGGATTTATAAAAGCTGCAAAGTTTGGATATGAAGCTTCTTGAGAAAGAGCTTTTTTATTCATTAATTCTTACATCATTTAAAGTGAATTTTTTCCAATAATTGGACAAATTTGTTGAAACGTGTTGAGCATTGAAAGATTGATAGGAATAGGGGATGGTTATGGCAACCACCAGCCAATTTGCAAATATGACAAATCAAGGAAAGTAAATGCTACATGTTAGATATGTTTTGAGAACACATACACATTAACACAGCAAAGATATTTGAAAATGAAATGCATTGTAATGGATACATCCAGAAAAGGATACACATCCAGGCATCCTGAAACCCATACACAATATCAAATAAAAATGATAAACTTAAATATTTAAATCAAATACGATAGTATGACTCAATCTTTGCGAGTTCACATTTTGCAGAATACTAGCAGCAAATTCTTTGTTCCTTTGCACAGATTGCATCTTTCAACCGCATTACTTATTAGCAAGATGGAAAAGAAAAATTAAAACGAACCCATTGGATATCTGAGTAAAGGAAGAAAAGCAGAAGTCTAAACTCACGCATATCTCCCCATCTGCAGGCTCCAACGTCACTGTCCGGCCCGGGAATTCCGGAGTTCCTCTGTGGTCAGTACTGCCTTGGTAGAAGACGCGACGGTAGCGTTTAATGAAACCCACAAGGCAGTCATCGTAGTGGAAACCCGGTTTCCATATCAGTGACCCGTATCCGAATACCCACATCGCCATATCTACTTCTGATAACAGTCAGGTGCTCGAAATAGCTTGTTTTTTCCTTCAGATTTCTTTAGATCGGGCGGAAGTGCTGAGTGAACTGAAACGATGTCTCCTGGAGCTCCAGGAGACGAATGGCTAACCCAATGGTCTGGGCGATTATCGATTAGTAACTTTCTGTGAAATAAGAGTTTTTTTCCGTATTAATGTTAATTAATTAATTAATTACGAAAATAGGGTTGGGTTAAAAGTATTTACCAAAATACTGCTGGGTTAACCATGGTCGGGGGTAAGTCGCCCAACGGTTGGGCGACTTATAAGTCGCCAAACGGTTTGGCGACTTATAAGTCGCCCAACCGTTGGGCGACTTTCCCTTAAGTAAAAATCGGGTCTCGCCCCAAACAGAACACTTCACAGAAGCCTCCCCCAACTGAAAGTAGCTGCTGCGACGGACGAAGAAGAAGACGGACGAACCGCCATCTCCAACTCCGGCGCTCCTCCATCTCCGGCGACTCCACTCCGGCAACCCTCCATCTTCATCTTCATCACTCTTTACTCCTTATTCTAGGTAAATCCAAATCCATTTCATATAATTTTGCACTTAGGGTTTAGAATGTTAATTTTTTTTTAATTTTGGGATTATGAATTGATTGTGAATGAAGTTGTTGTCAAATGTGAATATGTATGAAATGTTGAAATATGATTTTAAATTGTTTGTAAATTGTAATGTGTATTTTGACATTTGAGCATTTGGGTATAGTTGAATGTACCTAAATTTGGGTATTCAAAGGTAGACATTGAATGTAGATATCAAAATTTGGGTAGTTTGTTATTGAAATGTGAATTGTTTGTGAATTTGGAGTTAATGATATATTACAATTTTGGAAGCAATTTCTATTAAAAATGTGAATGTGTATAAAGTGTGTATATTGATGCCTACTCATGAATGTTGGACAATGAGTTGTTATTAGAAGATGGATTTCTCAAGCTTCCCACTCGTGTGTCATTGGGGAGGGAACTATTATGAGAATGGTGGGCAAATATGCCATGAAGGTGGCAGAACGAGCTTTGTCATGGTTTCTCGTGGCGCTTGCATGGTCGAGATCCTTCAAAAAATACATGCAGCGACAATGATTCATCCCGGCCGTTCATTGCGGTTGAAAATGAAATTTCACATGAACGGGGGAAAGTACATGCTTATGCCTCTCATTGATGAGCTAGCTATAACAAATATGTGGGGCATAATTCAGATGGAGGATATGTCGTCGCTGGAGGTATACATTGAGGAATGCTTTGACGCTAATGCTACTCAATCGACATCAAATGCTGGTGTATCTAGGCATGATGTCATTGCAGGGGTGAATGCAGGGAAGTCGTCAAAGGTTCCTGTACTAGACATGGTTATACAGGAGGATGGCATGTATTTGCACAACGGTGCATCATTTGTGGATGGGCAGGGAAGTGATGATGATGCAGACGAGAACATCAATGGTGACGACATGACAGAATCTGATGAAGATGATGGTGATACTGTGACATCAACTGCCCCGTCTAGCCACTTCACTAGAATGTATGATCTCCCTGAAGGTTTTACTGATGCGTGGATGAGTGGATCAGGTGAGAAAAGGTTTACCCCCGATGGTGAGTTTGAGGTCGGTCAACAGTTTGACAACAAAGAACAAGTCATCAATATGGTGAGCTTGTATTCTATCAAACGGAACCAATTCTATCGGGTGATAGAGTCCGACAAACACAAATGGGTGGCACAATGCAAAAGGAAGAAAGAATGTCAATGCCCCTGGAGAATACGCGCCACAAAGAACAAAGGCAACCTTGACACCTTCACAATTGTGCGTTATTCTGGACCTCATTCTGCTTCTTGTGTAGGCAACATCGACACTACAGATCACGTGGCCTTGACATCAGAATTCATCTGTAAAGATGTGGTTGACATTATTCGCACTGATCCTTCTCTTAAAGTGCATACTATCATCGAGATGTTGAAGGAAAAATATGGGTATACGGTATCTTACCGGAGAACATGGATGGGGAAGCAAAAGGCCATAGCACAAATATTTGGCGGTTGGGAAAAGTCATATTTCGAATTGCCCCGTTTCATGACAGCGCTCCTGGTTTATGCTGGTTTATCTCGCATGTCATCCGCTACTGGCCTCGGTGTGTACAGGGATGCATTGGATCGAATGTCAGAGGACCAGGTATGGTGTGTGTAGTATAACAGTAACTAGAATAGGTGTAGAATAAATACTAATTTTGTATGTTTACGAAACAGATCACATGGATGCCGTATAGACCTGATATGTTAGCAGAGTTGCCCCCAGCTGGACGAGAGCAGACTCACATATGGCGAGCACGTGTGCCGCTAATATGTTTTGACATTGTTGAGCTTCATTTGCCTGATAGAGTCATGCGACAGTTTGGGTTTGAGCAGGTCATTCCACGTCCTATCGACACTTATGTAGAGCTGCATAAGCTGGATAGGCGTGGGAAGCATACAGAGGATTGGGCACTCAGACATGTCCGATACGTGACTATGTGGGATAGGAGAGCTGAGCTAGCCGTGGCTGGGACACCCACATATGTGCCATCAGTTTCAGGAGATTACATGGGATGGTACTACAGCATCACTCGGTTGTTTGTGTCTCCTTCGTTCAGACTCCCTACTCATCATTATCAGCCTAGCTCATTGGCATTGCATCTTACGGTGAGTATATTACTAATTAGTAAAGTAAGTCATTTTATTTATGTAATACTTGTATGTATTTGAATGTAATTGTAATTGTGTTTCGTATTGCAAACCCGAGCTTTGCAGCGCATACATCAGCGGGCTACTGCCACTGTGACTGATATTCCTGATGTGGACATGTATGGACAGACTCTGACAGGCATTGCCTCGTTATGCTCAGATGTGTTGGGTCGAGTAGACTACGGACATCTTATACACATGCCCGCATCTCAGGAGATGGCATCCACGTCTAGTGCAGCCGCGGCTTCATCATCCCAGACGCAACATGAGAGAGTGGTTCTTCAACCACGACAACGCCGTAGGCGTAGACATGAGCAGCAACATCTCCATGACGAAGCTGATGATGGGAACTTGTAGTTTGTCTTTTGTATTGTAGTTTTTCTTATGCAATAGATGTTGTAGGAACAATTTACAAGTTTTGATGTATTTTCTCTTGTTAAGTATTCTATGTTGTATTGATGTGTTCGAGTATGAATATTACATGATTATTTGTTATGACATATATGATGATTGAACTGTGTTCTATCGGTTATGATTTGAAAGTTTTTTAGCGCTGTTTATAAGGTGTTTTTTATGTTGTTGAGAGTAGGTGATTATCATGTGTTGTATCTAGTTTGTAACACTTCAAAAGGAGAAAGGAGACCTTATTTGTAGCAAACAGATCAGTCTGGATTGAACCGGGGCGAAAAACAAGCTGATTTGGTGTTTTAGGTAATAGGCACGATCGTGCCTAAGGAAATAGGCACGATCGTGCGTGGCTGGCAGTAGCTGCTCGCTTGAAACCATATTTCAGGGCAAAGTCGCCCAACCGTTGGGCGACTTATAAGTCGCCAAACCGTTTGGCGACTTATAAGTCGCCCAACGGTTGGGCGACTTTGCCCTGACCACGGTTAAGGCCCAGCAGTATTTTGGTAAATACTTTTTTTCCAGCATTATTTCCGTAAATAATTAATTAATTAGCATTAATTAGGAAAAAAACTCGTGAAATAATGGGAAAGAGGTACTCCAATAGGAGTCCTGGCAGGTATATTTATATTAAATAAGAGTTACCAAAACAGACAAGGATTCCTCATTTATATTAACTATATTACACCCCCTCAAGCTGTGCGGGAGATACAACGCGCAGGTTGTCTTTCAAGAAAGTAAATTGCTGACTAGATAGAGCTTTAGTAAATATATCCGCAAGTTGCAAGTGTGTGGGAACATACTTCACCAATAAATCACCATGAGCAACTCGTTCACGAACAAAAGGATAGTCAATCTGAATATGCTTGCTGCGAGCATGCTGAACAGGATTAGCAGTCAAATATGAAGCCGAGATATTATCACAAAATAAATGCACAGGGTCACGGATAGAGTAACCGAGCTCAAATAGGACCGAACGTATGTGAAGGGTGTCCTGTACTGTGTATGCTATGGCGCGGTATTCGGCCTCTGTAGAAGACTTGGACACCGTAGGTTGCTTCTTGGACTTCCAAGATACAAGATTAGGCCCGAGAAAAATAGCAAAACCTGTGGTAGAGCGGGAAGTATCTGGACAGCCTGCCCAATCAGCATCGGAATAGGCGAAAATACACAAGGAACGGGCTGACTTTTGAATCCATAATCCATGATCAATGGTACCCTGCAAATAACGAAATATGCGCTTGACAGCAAGCATGTGAGTGGTGCGTGGGGCATGCATAAACTGAGACACTAAATGAACTGCATAAGTAATATCAGGTCTTGTCAAAGTTAAATACTGCAATGCACCTACCATACTACGATATTCCGTAGCATCCGCAAGAAGTTCACCATCAGTGAGGGAGAGAGATGTACGAGTAGCGACTGGGGTACGAACAGACTTGAGAGTATGTAAGTGGAAACGAAGGAGAAGATCAGAAACATATTTTTGTTGAGACAAGAAAACTCCTTTAGAATTTCGAACGGCCTGGACTCCCAAAAAATAATGAAGATCACCGAGATCTTTCATAGCAAAGTGAGAAGCAATACAGGTAATAAAAGAGGACACAAGAGATGGAGAATTGCCAGTAATAATAATATCATCCACATATAATAATAAATACATAACTGACTGACCATGACGGTAAATAAATAACGAATTATCTGACTTACTACACACAAAATTATGAGTAAGTAAGAAACTACTAAAACGGTGAAACCATGCCCGCGGGGCCTATTTGAGACCATATATGGCCTTTCGCAAACGGCATATATGATGAGGAAACTGTGGATGAACAAAACCCCGCGGCTGACGCATATAGACCTCTTCCGTAAGATGACCATGAAGGAATGCATTTTTGACATCTAATTGACGCATAACCCACCCAAAAGAAATAGCAAGAGTAAGAACAATACGAACAGTGGTGGGTTTAACAACAGGACTAAAAGTCTCAGAAAAATCTACGCCAGCCTGCTGATTAAATCCTTGAGCAACCAAACGTGCTTTATGACGCTCAATAGACCCATCAGAGTTATACTTAGTTTTATAAATCCACTTAGACCCAACCACATTTTTAGAGTTATCAAATGGAACTAAATCCCAAGTATTATTAGAAATAAGTGCATTAAATTCATCCGCCATAGCCTCACGCCAAATTAAATGTTTTTGTGCCTCAGAAAAGCAAGTCGGATCAGCGGCACTAACAACTGTGTTTAATGTAAAAATTGATTTGGGTTTAAAAATACCCGACTTGGCCCGGGTTTGCATAGGATGTAAATTAAATCGGGGCATTGGTGGGCTGGTGGTGGGAGAGGAATCTGAACCGACCGCGGTGGCCGAGGGTGGGGAGGATGGTGGACTGGACTGATGACTGGACTGGTCGTGGGCTGATGTGGCCGAGGGTGGTGGACTGATCTGGGCATTGGCTGGGAGGACCGAAGGTATGGGAATGGGTCTGGTCTCGGTTGTGTTTGAAGAGCAGATGACCGTGGGTGGATTTTGACTTTGTGCAGGAGAAGTAGAGTATGATATAGGTAGTGAGTGTGCTAAGGGGACCTGGGAAGTGAGGCGAGGTGGGGGTATCTGCGGCCGAAGGGTATTAGTAAGGAAGAACTCAGAATTGGCAATAGAAGTAGAATTGGAGGGGGATGACTCAGGTGAGGACGAACGTAAGGAGGTGAAAGGAAAAATATTTTCAAAGAATCTAACATGACGACTGACATATACTCTTCCTGACTTAGGTTCAAGACAACGATACCCTTTATAGCCAGATGCATAACCAATAAAAACACAATGAACAGAACGGGCTGAGAGTTTATTTGCTGATGAGGCAGAAATATTGGGAAAACAAGAGCACCCAAACACACGCATGAAGGCATAGTCCGGAGATTTTTGAAAAAGTCTTTCATATGGAGAAGAGTGACCAAGTAAAGGAGAGGGCAGCCTGTTAATAATATATGTAGCCGTAAAAATGGCATCCACCCAGAATTGACTAGGAATAGAAGCTTTAAGAAGCATAGTCCTAGTGAGTTCTAGTAGATGTCGATGTTTACGTTCAGCAACCCCATTTTGTTGAGGTGTGTCTCGACATGATTTGCGAAAATAAATCCCATGAATATCAAAAAATTGCTGCATAGTAGAATTTACAAATTCACCCCCTCCATCACTTTGAAAAATTTTAATTCTAGTATTAAAAAGATTTTCAACTAAAGCTTTAAAATGTTTAAAATGAAGAAAGACTTCTGCCTTGGTGCGCATGGGGTATAACCAAGTATAGCGAGAAAAATCATCAATAAAACAGACATAATATTTAAATCCCAAATTGGATAAAACTGGAGATTGCCAAACATCAGAATGAATTAATTGCAAAGGCATAGTAGAATTATGACTAGCATCCATAAAGGGTAAACGTTGAGATTTGCCTAATCGGCAAGAAATACAGTCATGAGAGAAACTAGAGCTACTACAGATATGGTGCTGACTTTGTAAAACACGTAAAATAGAAGTGCCACAGTGGCCTAATCTACGATGCCAAATGGGGCCAGATAAAGCTAGAGAAGACAAGGCAAACGGTGGCTGAGGACGGAGGCTGACTGGATAGAGATGACCATGACTAGGAGCTTCCAGAAGGACCTTCCCCGAAATTTTGTCCTTAACAAAAAAAGAATTTTTATCAAAAATTACGACACAGTTGTTATCAGCACAAAGTTTTTGAATAGATAACAAATTAAATTTAATGTTAGGCACATGAAAAACAGATTTTAGCGTGAGAGGACGGCTGGAAGAATTTAAATGAACATCTCCAATATTAGCAATGGGAAGTTTAGAGCCATTAGCAACACTAACAGAAAGTGGTCCAGTGTAAATTGATTTATTAACTAAAATACCTTCCGTAGGGGTCATGTGAGCTGAAGCTCCAGAGTCAGGATACCATAAAGCAGGATTTGAGTCACCGTTAGAAGTCAATAGAGCTGGTGCAGACGGTGGAGCATACCGAGAAGGACACTGAAGTGCAGAGTGACCTGCAGAGAAACAAAGCTGACAGACAACAGGCGATGGAACAGACCCAAGAATGCCCTCACCCGGTGAAAAACCTGCAGAGCTAGCGTGAGTATCATAAATAAAATAGGGATTAATATTTAAAGTTGACAAAACAGAATTACTAGCAGAACCTGAAGTGCCCGGGCGAGTAGATTGCACCCCCTGAATAGAAGCCTGATGTTGTGCAAAGACCTGCTGTCCGAAGCCCTGCTGCTGGCCAGACCCAGATGCTGCCGAGGATCCACCATGAGGTAGCTGAGGTCCTGCCGGCTGTTGTGCACCAAAGTATGGCACGGCCTGGTGCTGAAAGCCAAACTGCTGCTGTGGATGTCCTCTGCCGCGACCCCGGCCCTGGCGACCGCGACCGCGACCACGGCCTCCCCTGCCGCGAGCGGCATATCCAGCCGGTGGCTGCCCCCCAGCTGCAGCTACCACAAATGCTTGATGACCAATGGCTGCCTGTTGCTGACGCTCAGACAGGAGTTGTTGTTCTGCTTCAAGTAAACGCGGTTCCAAAATATGGAAAGGAAATTGCTCGGGAAATAACGAGACCGTAGTTACAAGGGGCTTATAATCCGGTCCCAAGCCAGCGAGAATAGATTGAAGTAGTTCTTTATCCGAGACAGGAGAATTAATTGCCGCGAGAGCATCAACTAAATTTTTGATTTCCCTTAAATAACTTTCCATTGATTGAGTCTCTTTCTTTTTAAGAGATGACAGTAATCGTTTAAGTTCCATGC